TTATACCGGGTAATATTTAGTTCACACCAGAGGCGTAGCGACCCTTCAAACTATCGATTTGCACCCCCCCCTCGAACTTTTGATTAGCACCCCCCCCCCCCCCCACCGTCAAACTTTCAATTTGTTTTTCCAACCCATTTTGGCGCCCCCCCCCCCCCAAGGTCGGCGCCCCCCCCCCCCCCCTCGCTACGCCTATGGTTCACGAAGGGTACTGAGAAGGTGTTCCCAAAGAACGAAGGCGGGAGATATACTAAACTAATGGACGTGTTACCATCACCACCAGGATCACCATACAACATAATACAAGATCTGAAGATGGCAACGACACAACATACCATATGTATGTCTTCAACCACACATGTGATATGTATGTCTACAATACAACCACACAACATGTTATATGTATGTCTACAAACACACATGTGATTTGTATGTCTACCATACAACCACACATGTTATATGTATGTCTACAACCACACAGTATTTCATATATCTACAACAAAACAGCTTACCATATGTCACCAACCACACAACATACCATATGTATGTCGCCAACCACACAACATACCATATTTATGTCACCAACCACACAACATACCATATGTATGTCGCCAACCACACAACATACCATATGTATGTCGCCAACCACACAACATACCATATGTATGTCACCAACCACACAACATACCATATGTATGTCACCAACCACACAACATACCATATGTATGTCACCAACCACACAACATACCATATGTATGTCACCAACCACACAACATACCATATGTATGTCACCAACCACATAACATACCATATGTATGTCAGCAACCACACAACATACCATATGTATGTCACCAACCACACAACATACCATATGTATGTCAGCAACCACACAACATACCATATGTATGTCACTAACCACAAAACATACCATATGTATGTCACCAACCACACAACATACCATATGTATGTCACCAACCACACAACATACCATATGTATGTCACCAACCACACAACATACCATATGTATGTCACCAACCACACAACATACCATATGTATGTCACCAACCACACAACATACCATATGTATGTCAGCAACCACACAACATACCATATGTATGTCACTAACCACAAAACATACCATATGTATGTCACCAACCACACAACATACCATATGTATGTCACCAACTACACAACATACCATATGTATGTCACCAACCACACAACATACCATATGTATGTCACCAACCACACAACATACCATATGTATGTCACCAACCACACAACATACCATATGTATGTCACCAACCACACAACATACCATATGTATGTCACCAACCACACAACATACCATATTTATGTCACCAACCACACAACATACCATATGTATGCCACCAACCACACAACATACCATATGTATGTCACCAACCACACAACATACCATATGTATGTCGCCAACCACACAACATACCATATGTATGTCACCAACCACATAACATACCATATGTATGTCAGCAACCACACAACATACCATATGTATGTCACCAACCACACAACATACCATATGTATGTCAGCAACCACACAACATACCATATGTATGTCACCAACCACACAACATACCATATGTATGTCACCAACCACACAACATACCATATGTATGTCACCAACCACACAACATACCATATTTATGTCACCAACCACACAACATACCATATGTATGTCACCAACCACACAACATACCATATGTATGTCACCAACCACACAACATACCATATGTATGTCACCAACCACACAACATACCATATTCAGCCAACCTCACAGCCAACCAGATTCTGCCAACCTCACAGCCAACAGATTTAGCCAACCAAGACATGGATAATAAAAAAGAATAAAACCAACGAAGACGTTGAAAACATTTTTCTTTAATATTTAAATATCTAACCAGTCGCAGTACCTAGAACACCAAAAAATTTTTATTAACGACAAACAACGAGACGCATTTGGGCGAACACAAAGTTACAGAGACCTTAACGACTGATGGTGTTGTGATGTAGTGTAGATGTTATGCTGATGATGGTGTGTTGTGGATATGTGGTGTTGATGTAATGCTGAAGATGTTGTGATGTGAATATGTGATGATGAGTTCTGCTGTTGATATGTTGTTATGTTGTGATTTTCTGGTGACGTGTCTAATCTTTTGATATGATGATATTCTGAATAAATTATGTTATGATATTTTTCATGTGATGATGATTATTAATAATAAAAATTATATTGATGTATTGATGATACTTGACGATATAAGATGATGTTATAGATAAGTGGCTGAATTGATGATGATCACATGAGCTGATGTTCTCAGGTAATGATGAAGTAGTTTGGTGATGGTGTTAATACATCAATGTGCGGCTGGTGGTCGTGTGGGCAAGCGATGTGGTGGTACAACTAGTGCCGTCATGTGGTGATGATGTGGTTGTGGTTGTAAGAGTCGGTACTGATGTCTGGTTGCTATAGCAACACATCGATAATGCAGGTAACAAAAAAAAATGATCAATGATGTATTTTTTTTAAAAATATGGTATACATGAAACTAGTATCGTCATGATGAATATCTCAGGAATCGATCCACATATTTATTGCCATAAAAAATATGTACACTCCAGAGTAATCGATTCCAGATTTTGGCCGCTAAACAAAAATAAAATCACATGGAATATTTACAATCTATAATTTACAATTGTCAAGTTTGTTGTGTAAATGGGGGGGGGGGAAGGGGGTTAGAGTAAGGTAGTTACATAAAAAAATAAGATGCAATACAATAGTGTGACGTCACTGCTGTTGAGCAATGACGTGGGTACAACATCACTATGACGTAGGTACAACATCACTATGACGTAGAGACAGTATAGCTCAACATATTACGTCATACTCTTCATATTTCAACACACTTTTCAACACCAGTATGTCAATCAAGTTATACATATTACACCACAGGGACATTAAAAAAATTACACAAAATGTAATCCTTAAATAACTGTTTGAAAGTAATTAAGAATCCTATTAAAATCATATTAAACTGTCATAGATTTCAATATTTTAAATTGTCCTTTTTGTATGTCTTTTAAAAAATTGATTGGTTACTATGAAACATGGGGATAGTGTTGTCAGCACTAGGCCTAGCCACTTTGGTTTCCCTAAAGTGAGTCAGGTACTCGTCAGAGCTGGGTGGACTCAATGACGTACTACTGACTCAAGAGTCTACTTACTTTCAATATATTAACTTGTTACAAATATGAGAACAAATACAATTATACACGCTCTTATCCCGAGAAGCAATACCTATAGATCATGCTATGGTAAGAAAGAAAATTCTTGTCTATACCACTTTAAGAAAGTGTAATTATACCACGGTTCTTGTATCTTGCTATTATCATTGTGGTCACATACACACATGTTCTTAACAGTAGGTCTTAACCATAATGTCCTAAGCAGAATGTCCTAACCAAAATGTCCTAAACCCAAATGTGTTAAGTCCTGCCTCGGCTAAGTACACGAATCTCACGGTCTCACTGACAACCAGAGACCAACATACAATCCAATTAACTCACTATCTTACAAGTACAGTTTTAATTAATAGATTGTAATTAGAAATGTAACTAAAATAAGTTGGCATTGCAAATATTAAAAATTATTTTGAAAACCAGATTTGTTAAACCTTGGCTGTTATCAAAGCATAAATAATAGCATCCCTTAAAAAATTTACTTCACTTTCTAATTCAAAAAAGATTTCTTGAAGTAGTAGTTCAGTGTAATAGTATTTAATATTTTAAGATAATTAGTTTCATTAGCTCGTATTATGAGGTTCACGTAAAAATGTGTTGATTAAAATATTTACGTTATACAATGGACAGTTTATTATTGCCAGATTAAAGAGGGGTATTATCTCAACCCAACTTTTTCACACACACCACCACACACCCTCCCACACACCCTCCCACACTCCCTCACACACACCCTCCCACACACACACCCTCCCACACACACACCCTCCCCCACACACACCCTCCCACACACCCTCCCACACAAACATTGACGTTTTCTAACGGTACATCAGACATATGTCTAATTCAAACAATACACCCCAAACACCTCACACTCCCTCACTACACAATCTCACGTGCCCTCACCTCACTCACTCACATTGTCCCCTCACACTCCCATACCATACTTATCTCCTAAAAGACAACAAGCTACCCCCCCCCCCCTTCCCTAACATTTACATCCTCCAATAAAAAAATATATCAACACGTTCTACACCATTAATTTTATTTACATACAATACAAGTTATGTTGTTTTATTTTAAAATCAAATTGCTAATTAATGAACGTATTACAACTACACCTCATTATTAACCTTTTAATCAACATTTATTTTAAGTAAATACTTATTATTCGGCCCTCCAATTTTGTAAATAAATTATAAAAAAGATCATTGCCAAGCAAACCGATAAAATGTAGGTTTTAAAATATGTGAGATTGGCAAACCTCATTCCTAATTAGACCAGTGTCGAATGTTAATTGTTTGATTGTTGTAAAGGATGCTAAAGTTATCTTCAGTGGATATCAAAATTTAGCTAACCGGGTCACTGAAATTTTTAAAAATTAATAGTTGATCGTTACCGAAAATCACCAGTTTAAAAAATATAATTTTATAAATTTTAACTGTTTTTTTTTCCGACATTGTGTTTTTGTTATTTTTCTACCTTAATTATATTAGTGTTTACAATTTTTTTTAAACAAGATTAACAAATATAAAAATTGCATTATAACATTAATAAGATTATTAAGTCTAATTAAAATTAATCAACAATTAGAAATGCACCCTTAAACTTTGATTGCAAGTTGTTTAACATTACTTTCCTCAAACTTAATACACCCAAGCTATATTCTAGGAACAAGATTTGAAACATTGGAAATGTTGTATTGTTTGTTTTTTTAAAGATCGATTTCGTTTACGGAAGAAAAGACCGATTTTGCTTAATTAAGGAAAACACAAATTACCTCGCATGCACAAATACCAAATACTATTTTTTGTTTATTTAATTTTCATCAAAAAATTATTATAATCGAATATACTAATTAATTGAAGCTGATTATATTTTTTAATAGTATATTTTTTTCTTATTATTTTGTCAAAATATTAACATGTTAGGAAATTGTGATTTAAATAGAAAATTGTAAAAAAAATCATTTTATAACATTTGTCATTATTTTTAACCGGTTTGAAAATCCAATACTTTTATTACAAAGACAGTTAAGAATATATCCCTTATTAAAATGGATTTAAAATTCGTCACAATGGAAAAATAAAGAAATAAACCTTCCATAAAAATAAATTGCTTCCGGAAAATCGCAAATATTATGCGATACTTTTGCCGCAAACGTACGCCATATTATACAATATACAGACCGACATATACACATACAAATTTTATCAACCTAAAACATTAAAACATCAATTTTTTTCACTCGAAAATATGTATGAATATGCTTTATAAATACAGGTTTTGTATGTCATACAAAATTTTGTTAAATGACATACATTACGTGGTAAGACAGGCGAAAAAAACTCACGCAACATACAAATGAACTTGTATATTTTTTACAGCAAATACGAACAAAAGCATATTCGATACACTTAGAGACAGCGGACATGAAATAATTTAAATGAACTTTTTTTTTTCTTCTTCAAACAGCTGTGCATTCAAAGATATGCACATACCGCGTCATCTGCGCCTGTTGGGTGTGCACCGTCTGCACATTCGACACAGACCCATTGAACATCAGCAGACATAATGTCGCACATCTGCGCATCAATCGAATTAAAAATTCTATCTGAGGAATTATGTACAACCAAATACATATATGCACCTGTCAATAAAGAGAACACCAGACTTCAAAGAGAATGGTGGTTTTTACATTACACAGAGTCCAAATGGTGGTTTTTACATTACAAATTTTATGTCCAAAAGCCACCTAGGTCTGCTGGTACACCCACGTCTGCTACACACCTGGCCGTACACCTGTGCTAGAGCTACACATGTGCTGGTGACGTGTGCTAGTACTACACACCCGTGTCTACACTACATACGTTAATCCATTCCCAGTTTTTACACGTTTAACTCATTTCTCCCGGTTGAAACGAAAGGTTTCGTTTTCTGAGAAAAATTAAGCAATATTTTAAAAAGTATCTTATCATTATCTAACCCATACAAATGTCGTATAAAATATATATTTTGCCGTTTTCAACGACTATTATCTCAAAGTACCTCAGGTAATGAACACTTAATCTGACAGTTTAAAAAAATGAAAAAAGTATATCCTCACAAGGATATCTGGCATTAAAAATGTTTTTAAACCTTTTAACCTCCCTACCCCAACAACTATCATGATGAGGCAGAAGCAGATGGAATACAGAATTCAGTTGTAAAAAAATAAACATTGTATTCTTACGTTATTTTGTTTAACTCTAAAGGGTTAGCTAAAAAAAATAGACAAAAATAAATGTGGATTGCAACATAATAGAATAATTACGATTCATATGCTTTAAACACATCGTTTAATTTAACATTTAACTTCCCTCCCCCATCATTGCGAAGGATAAAACAAGTACGAAGCTATTTTCAGACTAAAATTTAAAATAAAAATGACCAGTATTACACCCACCATCCCCACCACACCCATCCCAAAATTTTATTTCAATAATTCTATGTAAAAAAAAAATGATACCGATTACAATGTTTCGACCTTAGGACTTCGCCAGAAAATAACACTTGAAAGATTGCAATTAAAAATCTGGATGAATGTAAGCACAAGTAATTGTTGGTGTTTTCTCACTGTGTGGTAGTGCTCTTCAAACACTAGAACTGTTTATCTTGAATTGAGTTACTTTTTCCTGTTTCTTTTGTTCAATACGTAGCTGTTCAACCGGTGACGTGGTCAGTAACGTAGCAAATGACGTAGCCAGTGACGTAGGCAATGACGTAGCTAGTGACAGTCGTTTTTTTTTTTTAGAAAACAATAAATGGGACTGACGAATTAAAACAAAAAAAAAAAACAACACCAACCGATATGCGATGATGGGAGGGTCTTTCTCCAGGAACTCACGGAAAATCGATTTCAGATCGATTGGCCAGTGTTCGATCTGCACCATAAGCTGTTATCGATAACAGGTTATCACGTGACTATCAAGCTGAGATCTGATTGGTCGCTGTGCTGACCTATCACGTTCGTGGTGGTGGATGCAAAGAAATCCATCGCTGAGCGGATCACGTGATGGTCACGTGGGAGTGTCACGTGGGTGGTTGTCACGTGAGTGTTTTGAAAAAAAAAGTCGATGGTTTGAAGCGAGTCAACGTGACGTTGTCACTACATTAACTACCTAGCCAATGGGAGGCGCGCACTACCTGGCCAATCGCTATACCCCAACTGGACCGTTGCCATGGGAACCTACTTCAGTTTTTGGCTGGATGAGCGGGTTGTGTGGATGGTGAGACATGTGTCCGTGGTGGGGGTGGTGGGGGTGGTGGGGGTGACCCCCGGGCCCGCCGTTCAGGTGCCCGTTGTGGTGCGGGTGGTGCGACGGCGGCTGCTGATGCTGGTGGTGGTGATGATGGTGCGGGGCCCCCTGCTGCGGCGGCTGGGCGTGCTGGTGTAGCTGGGGGCCCGGCTGCGGCTGGGCGGGCAGGTCGTCCTTGTTCTCCTGGTCCTCCCGGATGCGAGTCTTGGCCCGCTCCGTCAGCTTCTTCCGCTTCATCCGGCGGTTCTGGAACCACACCTTGACCTGTCGCTCCGACAGCTGCAGCTTGCACGAGATCTCCCAGCGTTTCTGCCTGGTTATGTACGAGCTGTTCAGGAACTCGTTCTCCAGGACCATCGTCTGGTATCGTGTGTACGGCTTCCTTTTCTTACGTCCCTTGGTTTCTAAAAATAAAAATAAAAAAATAAATAAAAATTACGTCCCTTGGTTTCTAAAAATAAAAATGAAATAAAAAAAATAAAAATTACGTCCCTTTGTTTTTAAAAATAAATAAAAAAATTAATAAAAATAATGAATAAAATTTAAAAGGGGAAAAAATAATTTTTTTTTCGTTAAACGTTAATAAATATATAATTAATTATAGATCTTAAACGTAACAGACACGTGCAAGATGTAATTAGTTATGAGTAATTTTTCTTTAATTAATGTTTTCAGCGTAAACAACGCCCATTATGTTAATGCTTTGTGTGAGTTATTGCAAACATTTCCAACCAGCGCACACGACTGGTGAACAATGCTCACGTTAGGGTGAGGGTCAGTGGGGGTCACCAGAGCTGTAACTAATTGGCACCAACCAGGTACCCATCCTAGTTACAACTAATAACTCAACGGTTATTGTGGAGGTACCGGCCGAGAAAAAAAAACCGGCTAACCGGTTATTGGTATTTTTATTCAATTCTTCATGGTCGAAATATTAAAGGCTCCGGGTCTTACCTGGGAGACTAATTTACATTCAATTAATCAGACCGAAAAAATGCGGGTTGGGTATGACCTAATTACCCTTACAAAAAAAAAAACATCAAAGATTTCTACAACAATATACGCATACGAAGTTTCAATTTATACGTATGCAACGAAAAAAAAACAACATAAATTTGATAATTGATTATAAGAATATTGTTCATGATTTATTTATAGTTTTAAAAATAAATAAATTCAATATCATTTGCATATGATATGTCTACTTTATATTAGGCTACGCAATTGTATATCTTACAGTAGAACAACGAATAACTTTTATTGGTTTCCGTTAGATTTTTGTAATACGGATACAAATCCATCCCCCCTCCCACCCTACCTCACAGTGTCTTCATGTCGATTCGCATGACAGCGGATCACCCCTCCCCCCCCCCCAGGATTATTTTTAATTTAATTTTAAGCACAAGGCACGTGCAGTGCTCCGGTGCTATTATTGGAGAAAAACTGAAATTATTGCCGGCGCAGGTTGGACCGGCTGCACGGTAGGCTAGCTAAGAAAAAAAAAATTAATTACGGTCTAAGTCCCGCATTACCCACCGACCGGCCGGATTACAGAAACAATAAAGCCATTTCGTAAGCGGGAATTACCGTTTAACTGTCGTTTTGGTTGGCTGGTTGCGGCGGGGTGGGTAGGATATGACAACGGTGAGGAGCTGCGAAAAACAATCGCATCAGGTAACTGGTTAGGTATAATAACGGGATGTGTGTGGGATGTGTGTGAGCAGTGTGTGGGATGTGTGTGAGTAGTGTGTGTAATGTATGGGATGTGTGTGAGTAGTGTGTGGGATGTGTGTGGGTAGTGTGTGGGATGTGTGAGAGTAGTGTGTGGGATGTGTGTGAGTAGTGTGTGGGATGTGTGTGGGTAGTGTGTGGGATGTGTGTGAGTAGTGTGTGGGATGTGTGAGAGTAGTGTGTGGGATGTGTGTGAGTAGTGTGTGGGATGTGTGTGGGTAGTGTGTGGGATGTGTGTGAGTAGTGTGTGGGATGTGTGTGAGTAGTGTGTGGGATGTGTGTGAGTAGTGTGTGGGATGTGTGTGAGTAGTGTGTGGGATGTGTGTGGGATGTGTGTGGGATGTGTGAGAGTAGTGTGTGGGATGTGTGTGGGTAGTGTGTGTAATGTATGGGATGTGTGTGAGTAGTGTGTGGGATGTGTGTGGGTAGTGTGTGGGATGTGTGAGAGTAGTGTGTGGGATGTGTGTGGGTAGTGTGTGGGATGTGTGTGTGTAATGTATGGGATGTGTGTGAGTAGTGTGTGGGATGTGTGTGGGTAGTGTGTGGGATGTGTGTGAGTAGTGTGTGGGATGTGTGTGGGTAGTGTGTGGGATGTGTGAGAGTAGTGTGTGGGATGTGTGTGAGTAGTGTGTGGGATGTGTGTGAGTAGTGTGTGGGATGTGTGTGGGATGTGTGTGGGATGTGTGAGAGTAGTGTGTGGGATGTGTGTGGGTAGTGTGTGTAATGTATGGGATGTGTGTGAGTAGTGTGTGGGATGTGTGTGGGTAGTGTGTGGGAAGTGTGTGGGTAGTGTGTGGGATGTGTGAGAGTAGTGTGTGGGATGTGTGTGAGTAGTGTGTGGGATGTGTGTGAGTAGTGTGTGGGATGTGTGTGGGATGTGTGTGGGATGTGTGTGGGATGTATGGGATGTGTGTGAGTAGTGTGTGGGATGTGTGTGGGTAGTGTGTGGGATGTGTGTGGGTAGTGTGTGGGATGTGTGTGAGTAGTGTGTGGGATGTGTGTGAGTAGTGTGTGGGATGTGTGTGAGTAGTGTGTGGGATGTGTGAGAGTAGTGTGTGGGATGTGTGAGAGTAGTGTGTGGGATTTGTGTGAGTAGTGTGTGGGATGTGTGTGGGATGTGTGTGGGATGTATGGGATGTGTGTGAGTAGTGTGTGGGATGTGTGTGGGTAGTGTGTGGGATGTGTGTGAGTAGTGTGTGGGATGTGTGTGAGTAGTGTGTGGGATGTGTGTGAGTAGTGTGTGGGATGTGTGAGAGTAGTGTGTGGGATGTGTGTGAGTAGTGTGTGGGATGTGTGTGAGTAGTGTGTGGGATGTGTGTGGGATGTGTGTGGGATGTGTGTGGGTAGTGTGTGTAATGTATGGGATGTGTGTGAGTAGTGTGTGGGATGTGTGTGGGGTGTGTGTAAGTAGTGTGTGGATAGTGTGTGCAGTGTGTGAGCATTGTGTGAGTAGTGTGTGGGGTTTGAGTAGTGTGTAAGTAGTGTGTGGGCAATGTATGTGAAGTGTTTGGGATGTGTATGGACAGTGTGAGTAATGTGTGGATGTGTGTGGGCAGTGTGTTAGTGGTGTGTGTGTGTGAGATGTGTGGGTAGTGTGTGGGATAAGTGTGAGTAGTGTGTGTAGTGTGTGGGTAGTGTGTGGGTATTGTATGAGATGTTTGTGAGCAGTCTCTGTCCACAGGGTGTGTGGGGTAGGGGTTATTTGAGACAGGTTTGTACACGACTGATAACTGTACTTTAGAAGGAACATTTTGTTCCCTATTCTTTGTAGGAAAATATGGTTCCCTGTTTTCTGTAGAAGCGTAACGGTTGTGCGACATAAGGAACATTTCGTTACCTTTAAGCTATACGAGCACAACAGTTGTAAAACTGAGAGAACATTTACTTTCGTGTTCCCTGTAGGGCTAAATAAATTTTGGTTTCATTGTTCCATGTTGGAACTTAAAGAGTTGGAAATTAAAGAGCATCATTTAAGGAAAGCTGCCCTATAAGCTTCTAATGTTATACATTGAGTAAAAGTGATAGATAAGGCTCGTTAGCTGGGGACAGAGTTTCTTCCAGGCATCTCTTTGCCCCCCCCCCCGAAAAATTTTTACCGCCCCCCCCCCCCACCCCCCAACAAAATGAAATTTATATAATTTATATAGAAAATATATACTTTTAACAGTGTCCGCCCCCCCCCCCCAAAGAAAGTCTACCGCCCCCCCCCCCCCCGAAAATTTCAAGTGCCCCCCCCCCCCGGAGAAAAAAATCTGGAAATCTGGGGACAGTCACTCTTCTATGAGAAACAACTCCAAAATCAAACAACTGCTGCCTTGTAGTTTGTTCTTGGATGGGCAAAGGCTTTGGAAGCGAATCCAATAAGAAAAGCAGGCTGAAATCGGAGTCAATGGCCTCAATGGCGCATAACAATTTAACACATATACTTAGTTGTGTTAGGGCAGGGGTCGGCAACCTGCGGCTCGCGAGCCGCATGCGGCTCTTTTGATGTCAAGATGCGGCTCCATGCACAAATATTAATAATTATTTTAATTTATTTTTAAAACTCATAAAAATATTAGTCTGCAATACTCGGTAATTAAAGATATAGATTTAATAACAATGTAAAGTTTCTAATTTCGAGCAGAGCTTGCTAAACTACTTTAATATATTTTGTGCGAAACATGTGTATGTTTTTATATGAATAAATATTATTTCATATTTTAAGCTATTTATTTTAAATGTAATGTATATATATATATATATATATATATATATATATATATATATATATATATATATATATATATATATATATATATATATATATATATATATATATATATATATATATATATATAATGAAATATCATAATATTGAAATAAAAATGTTTGTGGCTCTTTAAAAACTGTGAAATGTGGTAAAATTTAACTTTTGGCTCTTCCGTCCCAAAAGGTTGCCGACCCTTGTGTCAGGGGGAATCTCTTCCAACACTAAAATTAAGAACGCAGAAGAAGAAGAAGAGTGATAGTGAATTTTAAGGACGTGAATCAACCTTGTGATTGTATAATGAAATCATTCATGTTATTCACAATCCAAAGGGTCTTAATCAACCTTGTAAATGTATAATTAAATCATACAAGTCATACTATTTCCAAAGGACCTTAATCGACCTTGTGAATGTATAATTTAAGCATACAAATCATACAAAATCCAAGGGCCTTAATCAGCCTTATAAATGTATAATTAAATTATACAAGTCATACTAAATCCAAAGGGCCCTAATCGACCTTGTGAATGTATAATTTAAGCATACAAATCATACTAAATTCAAAGGGCCTTAATCAGCCTTGTGATTGTATAATTGAATCCTACATTATAGACACCGACCAAGGGCCTTAACCTGCCTTGTGATCTTGTACCAGTGACGTCGAGGTGGAAGTGACGTCAAGCTTGTCGTGACGTAGACCTGGCTACCAGGTCTGGCGCCAGGGGTTGTACGGCCTGCTTGTAGCCTTGTCCCCCTGACACACTGGTGTGTATGAGTTATGGCTGGGATTAGCCGCTACGCTAGGCTGAGGAGGGGGTTACTTAGTACTAGACAGAAAGCAGGCGGAACTTGGTGGTGTCTTTGAATGTGTTATATTTTAATTTTTTTTTTTTTTAAATGTCTTTATTCTTCACAAATCTATA